GGGAGAAATGCATGGCATGAAGCACTGCAGAAGATTTTGAGGAGTGAGGCAAGTAGGGTTCTTTCTGGCACTTTATCACCTCAGCCACATGCCCATACTGCTTCTCAAGATCTAAAAATAATCTGTGTGTTTTATATGAGTTTATTATATCTTCAATGTAATTATACTTATCAACCCAAGTGTGGCCCATCCAGATAATATGACTTATTTTCACTGTAAAAATATGGATGCCTTCAGGTGAAGTTTGCTTTTTCACAAAACCTTGTGAAAAAAATCAAGGGGCCTCACTATGTGAGTACATTGCCTTGTTCTATGTCCTGACATTAAAATATCTGCCTATGATAAACTGATGAATTTCAAATTCCCTTATTTCTGATTATATGATCCTTGGGCCAGTGGAGTTTGCCAAGGCACTAGCTGAATTAAGTCCCTCTGAACAGGAACTTTAGGTTCTGATTGGAATGCATTATTGTACAACACTACCTAAAACATACATTTATCTCAGAGGTGCTTACTTACTTCAGCTGACAACACTTTACCATCTTTCAGTTTCTCATCCACACTATTCCTTCTTCTGAGCAGCTGATCCCTTTCTGTCTGGAGAACCTGAATTTTTTCCAAAATGTCTGTCTTATCTTCAGTGGCGCTGTGCTGAAGCTGCATACCTTTATCACACAGTTCCTGATCCAGCATACTTAAGCGAGTAGACAATTTCATACTGTCCTTGTTTAAAGCCTACAAGAACCACAGCAATGATAGATATAAAACTAAGATACTCCTTCCAGTAAGAAAAATGTAGATGAGACCGTCACATTCTGCAGTGAAAGACTTGCCTACTTCTTGCAATGGGACCCCATTTATTTTGAGTAGACAGCTACCATAAAATTCACTATTTACTGAGAAGATCAAAGAAAACAAAAACGCTCAATGTGCAGTTTTCTACATAATAAAAATTAAAGGGGCTAGTCATTGTAAGTCACAATGATACTTCAATTTCTATTCACTTTTGCTACTAAAAAATAATGCAAAATGTTTCCTTGTCATGCATTCCAATTTGTAAAAGGACCAAGTAATTTTTAGATATCATATTATTTAACGCTCTGCAACAACAGGACTCCGTAGTTCAAATTTTCTTGTTGTTGGAATTTTGGGGAGAAAAAGTGAATAAAAATTATTGTTCTGTGTTATTCACATTTTAAATGTTCATTTGCTCAAGCCACACAATAACTTCATGGCAGTGGTAGAGACACAGGTCACATGGTTTGAGCCGCTTCTGCTATCTATCTGCCTTCCCCCCACCTCAAGTCTTTCAGTCAGCACTATAACTGTGGTGAGTTTCAGGTTTTTTCTTAAATCACCTGGCTAGATCTCAGTTTCTTGATTTCCAGGTGGCTCTTCTCCTGCAATAGTGCTTCTTTTTTGGCTACAATGGCTTCTCTTTTCTTTAAATCTTCTTCTAGTTCTGCTAACTGTTGGTGCTGTTGGAGAATTCTTTCCATTTCTTCGTCCAGCCATTTCTTTTGCTCTTCTAATTTCTGAAGTTTAAATAGAGATCCAGAGAGCATTAACCAGGATTTTTTTGCTCAGAATTTTATGATTATGTTTTTCAGTTTTTAGAATAACTGTAGAAGAAATTGACATTTCTAATGTTGACATTAATTCTGCAACAGAATCTTGATTCAGAATAACACAGAAATTGGACTGACTTAAAAAGAGGCTCAGCAATGTTACATTGCTACATCTTGTATAAACAAATTTGTATCAGATTCCTGTAATAAAATTTATTCTTTTTCTAAGAATGGTTACGTAAACAGATGTCTTCTATATAATCACAGCAGCTGGGTTTGGAAGGTACCACAAGAATTCATCTAGCCCATCCTTATTGCATTGTGGTTGCCCAAAAACAGCTATTTGTGAAAAGAAATTAAGTGATAAGAAATTACGTTGTTGACAGACAGAAAGACAGTAAATGAGAGCTCTGATCCTGCTAGCACAGTCCATTATAAACTTATTCTGAAGCCACAGTTTATCAGTTCATGTACTCCTGTTAAGGCTAAAAAGTTGCCTTTATTTAACTTTAAAAATTTCTTTTCACCTTTAAAGACTTTGGGTAGCTCATGAAACTCTCATGTTCCAGTGTCCACATCTGAAATAATGTAAGGTGACACTGCTGCACACGATACCTACTTTTCTAACCCTGTTAGGAGCAACCAAAACCATAGACCTCTGCCATTTATATCAGAGAGGAAAATGAAAAAAACAAACAAACCATGGAACATTTACAACAGAACTCATCAGGATCACCCTCAAACCTACCAGACAACCAAACCCATTCAATTCTCAGGTTTCGGAATCAGCATCTTTGACAAATTATAGAAATAAATGACATTAGAGCCTCTCCTTTCTTTCATTAAAAAAAGAGTACAAGAGCTGCTAGACTATACTCCCAACTTTTGCTACAGCAAAAAAGAAGACAAAACTATGCCAGAATACTCTTCTTCCAGACATTTTACAAAGATGACTATGGATAAATAAAGAAAAAAATTTTTCAGGGTCCACAAAGATTCAGAATAGATTAGCTACCTGTAGCTTCTGTGAAGTTCCTACTGAGTTATTTTTCTTCTTTTTAAATGCGGCAATCTCTTTATCCTTAAGTTTAAGGATCTTCTGTTGTTGCTCCATCTTCAGTTGAAGTTCCTATAAACAAACAACAAACCCCATTCTTCCTGCCTCAGTCAGTCTGTTTTTAAAATGCATTTAATGTCAGAGTCCACACAAGTATATAATTTGAAATACTGACCCTAAATTTACATGTAGAATTGCAATTCAGAGCTAGACATCATGTAATAAAACAAAAAAAAAAAAAACCCTGAAGAGAAAGGCAAACTGAAGATTTCTGTGAAAATGTTTATAGACAACTTCTTCAATGCATTTGCCAAGAAAGTTTTAAGTAATTACTATGGAAAGCCTGGCAGTATAGTTTATAGTCTTTGGGGAAGCAGAGGCAAAATTGGCTCATCTCATTCTTTGTCATAAAGAAATAGGAAGAATCCTACTTTAATTTGTTGCTGGTCCCGTTGAATCTCTGCTTCTAGTTGCTTCTTTTTTTCACTCTCCTCGCACAGTCTCTTCTGTAGCTGGGTCTGCTGATGCTTCATCTGAGCCACGTTCTGCTCAAGTTCTGTTGCTTGTCTCTCACTTTGGTTAGATAATGAAGCCAGATTCTTAGTGTCTTGCTGCTTCTTCTGTAAGGCCTGAATGTTCATGGCAAATTTCAGCTTAATAGCAGGAAAACTTAAAACTAAAATACAACTCAGCTTCATTCTTTATTTCACTGGCTTCTTAGAGTCAGCAAGACTTACTAACTTCTGCCCAAACAACCACTCGTTACTTCTGTGGTTTCTGAGCTATCTGGTAAAGTTGGCACAGGCAAAATTAATCTCAGGCAACATGAAAAGTAACGATATAGTTCATGCCTGGCAATACAATGAAAATAGTAAAAACTAACAGAAATCACAGCTCAGGAAAATGCGCAGGGACATAATGGTGCCAGAATGCTGGTCCTGAGTTCAAATCAATAAGCCAGCTACCTCTTTCTGTGTGGTGCTTGTCTGACCCACCATTCTAGGACTGAGAGGCACAGAGCACCTAAGCTGGCCCTACACAGAATTTAAACTTAAGTACTGCAGAACTTAGAGGTAAAATGTCAGTGCCAAACATATATGACTGTGTTGGGCCTGGTGTGGCAAACCATCACAGTGTTTTGCTTAGAGCTGGAATTTGTTTTCATAAAACATCAATTCTATTCATGACAGGTAATAAACTTGTAATAGTCTCCTTGTGTAGATTCTTTTATGGTACTACATACAATGGTGTATGAGCATCTCTTCTTTCTTGGTTTCTTATCTAGCAAGAAAATACTGTATGTATCTAACAACATATATGTTAAATAGCATTCTGAGTATAATAACACTAAATTTCTCATTAGCTAGTTCAATCCAACCAGCTTCCAATGTGTAAAACTGGTGAGAGTTTTACAAGCAGAGTGTTAAGGTTCAAAGGTGATAGTGAGACAGAGATTTGCAAATCTTAGATCAGAATCAGGTCAGATCAGAAATACCTGCACTTTCAACTTAGCTGCATCCATCCTCTTCCTGAACTCTTTTTGTAACTTGGCTTTCTCAGGAATGTCTCTCAGCTCCTTGCTCTCCAGCTCCTGAAGCCGCTTTTGTGTTTCAGCCAGTTCCATTTTGGCCTGCTCAGATTCTTGCTCCAGTTTAGTTATCTTCAAAGAATATTGCTTACTTATAGACTGAGCATCCTTACCTTAAAGACACCATATCCAAATAGTTCAAAAACAGTAGGATAATCAGTTGAAATCTAATACTTAATTCTGTAGTTGAGTCATTACTTACTTCATTCTGGCTAAACCAATAATTTCTGAGACATTTTCCAACCCTAAAGGAACATACAGTTCCTTTCTAACTCTGAAATAGAGATAAAGGAGGAGAGTCTTAAATCTGAATTCTTCATGAGTCACCTGATATCACCAAATAGAGTGCCACCTGAGTGTAAAATAAAGTGAAATTCTTCTGCCTGCTGTAGTCTTTGCCAAAAAGGCTCTCCTGTATTTTATAAATTTTGCTTTTTCCAGAAGAATAAGCCATTTATTTATTACTCAACTTTCAGCTTAATAATCAGTAAACAACTTTGGATTGTGTTTCTACTCTATGACGTGCCCTGTTTGGGTGCTCTTTCCCAAAGTACTATTTTTGGGGGCACAAAATCTTTCTCAGTGCCAAAAGACAATCTCAGGAGAAGGTATGCATAGGAGAAGAGTGTGATTGAAGGGGCTGAGCAAGGAGATCCTTTCTGTCATCATAAGGCTAGTTTCTAGCAGGCATATATATATATATATACACACACACACACACACACTACACCAGGACAGATGTGTAAGGGATGTAGGCTAATAGGGACACTGGGGACACTGACATTTTCCCTCATCTGCTTCTGACTCCTGTTTCTCTACTGCAGTGCTGGGGATGCCTACATTCCCAGCACAGTGGTGCATCTTCTCTCCTAACCCAGAGACACCATGTGACAAATACATGTCCCTGAAGAGATCAGTAGCACTAAGCATACATGAAAAATTACACTATTGGTGGATAAAAGCAGTAATCAGCAAAGCACAAAAAGTATTTAACAAAATAGTTCTGTGTATCATAGCAGAGTAGGCTGTAATCAAAATTTACATCCTTCAGTGCAATCATAGCAAGTAATTAATGAAAGTTATGAATATTTAAGTTATTAAAAGTATTCTTGCATAAGATAATTACACAAAAACTAAGACATGCAGGACTTCAGAAGTTTTGTGCCTTTTCTTTTGTTTCTGAACTTAATTCTAATTTTTCCTACAGTAGCCAGTTACCTGTTCTTATTAATTCCTTAATAAGTTCCTCTTTCATTTTGATATTAAGTGCAAGTTCCCTCATTTTTTGCTCAGCCTCAGTGAGTCTCAACTCTGAATTCTTTAACTTCTGCATGTTAAAAACATGACTTTTTTGGAGGCTGTCAATCTCTTCACCTTGAAAGAAAACAAAGCAAATGGAGATTAAAAATCTGGAATACACACTGTATCCAAAAGATATTGCTCTGAAAAGGTGTATGTGTGGAGTTCTTCCATACAAAGTAAAAGAATCAAAAGGAAAGAATAGTGCAAAGAGTCTTTTCCCTACCATGTGTCTACACAGAAAATGAAAGGTTGGCATGCACTAGCATTTCAAGACTCTAAGAGGGAGGAAAAATACTCCTGAAATTATTTCAGTGCATCTCTGATAAGATGATAGTATCTATTTTCTTTCATCGAAGCAGTACTAAAGATTTATATCAAAACAGCTTTTTGATGTGTGACATGCTTTCTGGCTAATACGTATTACTTAAACATTATGGTCACTGACATCAGTTTCAGAAAGTGGAAGAAGAAGAGAATCTTGAAAGCCTGTGTTGAACTATAACTAGAAAAAAACTTGTAACAAATACACATATTTTGCTGGGAAAAATAATTACATGTGCTAAAGACATTCTTGCATATACTGATACTGTAATAACATTTGCTCTCAATGACTTCCATTTTACCTGTGGTTGTGTCAGTCTGTAGTGCAGATTTGTTGGATAAACCAGACTTGTCTACTTGACACTTCATGTCACTTCGATCAGGAAGAAAGCACAGAGAAGCCTGTTTTCGTGTCCATGTTCGGTTTATGGAATGCCTACGAATGAAAAACATGCTACATTCCAAACATACAGGAAATTTTTTACTTTAAGCTTCATGCAAAGTACATGATCTTAACAGAGAAGAATCCCAAACTCACATAAGCATTTGTACCTTCTTTCCCATCCACTCCCCACCTGCTGCCCTGATCTTCATGGTAGATCCTGGCCCTCATAGATTCTGGTCCCAAAACAAGGATTATGCAATCTTTACTAAATCAAAACCCATAAGTAACACCACAAATGGTCTCATGGTGTGGCAGGATTAGGCAGTAATACTGCCTTTGTTATGCATTTCTCTGTAAGAAAAATTAAAGAGTAACAAAAAAATTACTTAAATGAGGTTTTCTTTTTGCTGCCTGTATTTTCTTCCTCTTCATCGCTCTGATCAGAGAGATGGCAGTGAAGGACTTTATCCTGATCTTCTATGTTGCTCAGTATCATCTGGCTGCGAGCACGGAATTCTGCCATTACCCGGGCCAGGGAGAAGGCAGGGAGGCTGGTATACACCTGTCAAAAAGCACACAAAAAAATTGATGGGTAAAAATGCTTGCAATAATTTAGCAGTTCTTCACTGATATTTTAAAAATATTTCAATTTAAAAGTCTGCCATCACCTGAGCTTGTAAGCCAAATGACAGAGGTTTTCTATAATAACTGTGAATACCTTTGTAACAAAATGTTTTGTGAGAGCTTAGAGCAGTTGTTCCAAATGTGAAAGAAGGCACTGTTAGCAACTCATCATCTAACGTATTCGGTATATTGGTAAGAGTAATCATTCATTTCTGATAATGCTTCATATTTGAACTCTCAAAAACCCCAGGAAAATACCAGAAAAGGCTACAGCTTTAGCACTTTTAAGTGATAATTTTAAGCCTCAACATTTTGGACAATTGTGGCATAGCATATGTTGCAAAACATTAAAAAGTAATTTTTCACAGTCTTCAATGGGAAGTTAAATAGCATCTGAGAAAGCCACCATAATTTGGCATGTCAACTCTTAATTATTGAACTATAACCATTACAAAGCAAAGGAAAATAATGTAACATTTGGGTACACCTTACCTTTCGGGTCTCTGTCCCTGTAGTTGGGTGAAGGGCATGTAGCAGACTTTTTGTGAGTGGGACACTATATGGCCTCCTTGTGGATGCCACAACAGCTGGCCCATCTCCACAAGCACATGAGAAGTCTGAAGTTTTCACATCTGTAAGCTTCTCTAATTTTTCTTTTAGCTGATCAATAAGCATTTGCTGTTCCACCATTTTCTCGTTCTCATGAGGAAAAAAAAACAAAGCAAAACTGTTGCTGATCATGAGCTCTATATCCACCATTTCTAAATTCCTTACAAAGCTCACAAATCCTGTAAATCCCTCACTGACCCTAATTTCTTCTGCAATGCACAGGCAAATTCTGCAACAAACTGAAAATTCTATGACATATCATTAATCTATCACACACAGCCCAACTCCAGTAAATTTTAGACACATTTTTGTCCAGAAAGACCTATGCCAGTTAAGTTATATTAGCTTATCTAGGCATCTAGTAGGACGTAGTAACTGACATAGTTATCAGCCTGTGCTTGCTTTATACATGCGTTTATGGAGAAATAAAATAAGAATTCAATAAAAATGTTCAAACTGATGATTCTATGATTCTGTAAAACAAGAAACACATGGTCTGAGTTTAATTAATTAAACATGTATACAGGCTTCCTCTTCCTCTTTGAGCAGTTCCATTTTAAAGATTATTTGTATTAATAAATATAACTGTATATATGATCCCATGATGCTTTGTACAGGCCACTTCTTTTTCTTCTACCCAGCCTCAGCTTCACTGGTAATGCTAATCTGGAGAACTTACTTATCTGCTACTCATCCAGCAGTCTCTGTACATTGTTAAAAACTACAAACTTATCTTACCTAAACTGACTCATCTATAAAGCCAAGATTATAACCATTTTCAATTCCCTCTATTCCTTTCAATTCTTTTCAAAGTACCATTAAAATCTGGTCTAGTAACAACAGGAAAGTTGACTAATAGCTAGTGATAGTCAACTGAAAGTATTCAATTAAAGATATTTTGCATTCTTGTACTTTGAATAATACATTTTTATTAATTCTCTATATCTTGTTTTCTTAGACTGCAAGTTCCTTCCAAACACACATTGACAATACCTTGCAAATTGACATTTTGTTGGAATACAATACATAATAATCCTGTGTCATAGGAAATAGAATACATATATATGAATATCATATTTCTTATGATTTGTTATGATGGGATGATTCTTACGACTGGAGGGCTGCAATGGATGGCTATAAGCTCTTCAGAAGGGATAGGCAAGGAAGGAGAGATGGTGGGGTGGCTCTGTATGTTAGGGAGAGTTTTGATTGTATAGAAATCAGCGATTGTGAAGACCAAGTTGAGCGCTTATGGGTAAGGATGAGGGGGAAGGCCAATGAGGCAGATATCCTGCTAGGAGTCTGTTATAGACCACCCAACCAGGGTGAAGAGGCAGATGAAACGTTCTATAAGCGATGGGCAGAAGTCTCACAATCACTAGCCCTTGTTCTTGTAGGGGACTTCAATCTACCAGATATCTGCTGGAAGTATAACACAGCAGAGAGGAAACAGTCGAGGAGGTTCCTGGAGTGTGTGGAGGATAACTTCCTGACACAGCTGGTAATCCAGCAGGAGACAGTTAAGGACCTCTTAAACCACCTGGACACCCACAAGTCTATGGGGCCTGATGGGATCCACCCGAGAGTACAGAGGGAGCTGGCGGAGGAGCTTGCCAAGCCACTCTCCATCATTTATCAGCAGTCCT